TGGTATGATGCTTTTGATTCTTTCAAGAAGATACTAAGAAGCAGAATAGCTGGGTCAAATGAAACCTCCAGTTTTAGTTTTGTGAGAAATCTCCACACTGATTTCCACAGTGATTGCACCAGTCTACACTCCCACCAGCAGTGGAGAAGGGTTCCTTTTCCTCACATCCCCGACAACATTTGGTATTGGTTGATTTCTTGATAATAGCCCTTTTTGAGTGAGACAAAGGCAACGGGCATCACAATCCCTAACATGAAGTTATACTACACAGTTACTGTGATAAAACAGCATGGTACTGTCAAAAAAACAGACTTGAGAATCAATGGAACAGATTAGAAGATGCAGAAACAATTCCAGACATTCTCAGCCACCTTAGGGAACCAAAAACCTTCACTAGAAGAAAGATAGCCTCTTTAATAAATGGTGCTGAAAAAACTGGCTTTCCACATGCTGAAGATTAAAACTAGACACATATCTTTCACTATGCACTAAACTAAGATCAAAATGGATCAAAGATTAAATATTAAAACAGAGGCACTAAATCTGATGGACTATAGAACAGGTAGAACTCTTGAAGACATAGGTGTAGGCAAAACTTTATGAATAAAACCCCGATTGCAAAGGAACTATCACAAAGAATCAATAACTGGGATCTCTTGTTATTAAACTCTTTCGCACACCAAGAGTGAGGAGACAATCCACCTTGTGAGAAAAAATGTTTGCCAGCTGTTCCTCAGACAAAGGACTACTATCTAGAATATGTACAGAACTCAAAAAAATCAGACTTCCCCAAATGTAAATGCCCAATCCAAAAATGGGCATCTGAGATGAATACATACCTCTCAGATGAAGAAGATAGAAACAGAAAATAAATTTATGAAAAAATGTTCAATACCACTGGTCATTCAAGAGATGCAAATTAAAACAATGCTCAGATTCTAAGTGCTTGTTTTTTTTTTTTTAAGGTGTTTGTTTTTAAATATATGCAAACTATGATACAAAACACTTTTTACGGCTAAAGAGCCCCACAGTTACCAGAGTGAAGGTAGTAACCTTGTGATCTCAGGCAGATTTTAAACACAGTAATTGCATTCTGGATGTTTGGACTGTTCCCAAGTGGACTCATAAACCAAAAGGTTTCCAGCTGCAAAGACTCTTCCAGATCTCCCAAGCCAGGGGTTTCAATCTGGAAAGAGTCCATCCTCAGTGCAGTGTGAGAGAAAGCTCGCAAGAAGTTAAGCTGGCTTTGTCTTTCTGCCTTGACCCTGCATAGGGCTGTGCTTCTCCTTCGAAGCACGTTTCACTATGACCATTGCTCCTCAGTGTCGTAACTCCAGGCAGCAGACATGGAACCCATCTTGAAGACTGAGTATCGCCAATATCCAGCCCTGTGCCAGGCAGAGAGCAGACATTCAGTGACTGTCTGCTAAATCATGGTTATCCTGCGTAGAGTTCCTCATGTCCGCTAGAACAAAGTTTGAAAATCCTGCTTGAATTTAACCTTCTAATTATACACACAAGAAAACCAACATCTCTAAATATGGTCAGCCCAGCCCTGCAGTCAGAGAACAGCTGCAACTTGTTTTAAAAAGTCAGAAGCCTGAACCCAGTGCAGGTTCACTGACTCAAGACTCTCTGGGTGAGAGCCCAGGGGGTTATATTTAGAATACACCTCCTGAAGTCATTCTCATGCACTTTAAAGTTTGGGAAACAGACTCTGAGGGTTCATTGCCTGATACCAAAAGGTATTTAGAGGCTCAGAGAGCTGAGATCTTTCTTCTACTTGGGCCAGATCAAAGAATCACTCCCTGCAGGGGTAGTACCTTCAGAGAGAGCTGTGCTGGAGTAAATGATTCATTCCACAGCCTTTACAGAGAATAGCCTTTTCTCTGGGCTCCCTCCCGGGCTCTTTGCATTTCCTATAATATCTCCAGACCATTTCCCTCACACCTGGCTGCCGCCACCACCTGTTGGCTGTGCCTTTAGTCTGGTACCCAATCCTGAAAATGCCTGAAAGCCTGTGGCTTTCTTTAAAAAGTGCCTCAAATTCTGTGCCACTCCTCCTGTGGGTATCCACATATTCAACCAGCTTTAGTTCAAAAATACCTGGAAAAAAATGTGTCTGTTTTAAAGAAGTACACTCTTGTCATCATTCCCTAAACAATGCAGTATAACAACCATTTACACAGCATTTACATTGCATTTGGTATTACACGCAATCTGGTGATGATTTAAAGTATATGAGAGGATGTATGTATGTCCTATGCAAATATTACTCCACTTCATATAAGGGATTTGAGCATTGGCAGATTTTGATATCTGAGCAGGTTTCCTGGAATCAACTGCTGTGGATAATAGGGAATGACTGTACGATGAAGTGATGCTATCCTACTTCTGAAGCTAGCTTTAGAAAGGCATGTGGCCTCTGCCTGGTTCTGTTGGGACACTCTCAGAATCTAGCTGTCAGGCCTGAAGAGGCTCTAGCCCCAAGCACTGTCACAAAGATGTGCTGTGGTGGACAGAACCTCTTGTGCCCAGGCTTTGTTTCAGCCCAACCCTGAGCTTACAGCCATGAGTGAAGAACCCTCAGACATCTCAATAATTTTCAGCTTCCAATCTTCTCCAACGGTGGAGCTGAGACAAACCACCCTGCTGAGTTCTGTCCAAATCCCTGAACCACAGAACCCATGATCATAATGAAATAACTGTCTTATGTGTCTATTGTTGGCATGGTTGGTTTTTGAGACTGGTAACTGGAAAAGAGCTACAACTGAATATTCCACAGAAAGGTGAAATGGAACATACAGAAATAGTGGTCATCTCTCTTCCTTCCTCCTAGGAGGTGCCAAAGTTTGGAGACAGTCACTGTCTACCCAGTGTCAGGATTCCACTTGGGTTGCAGTAACAGAGAACCTCAACAAGGAAGAGGTCTAAGTATTGTCACATATTTTCTTCACAAGAGATCCCAAGACAAGATCCTGCTGACACTGATTCCACTGCTCAAAGATGCCTTCAGGGATCAAGATCTCTCAAGATTTAACTTTGCCATCAAAGATGCTGCTCCCTCTCTAGATATCAAGTGTGTTTACAACACAATGAAATGCCACAAAAGAAGTGGTTCTATTGCTGGAAATTGCAGGAGATGGACCATGGGAGTGTGTTACTAGCAATGCCTCCATCTGCTGTGCTGGAAAACAGAAGTATTAGCTTCAACCTTCTTTGGTCCCATGACTAATCTGCATTATCACTTCAGAAACACATCTATCCCCTAGGTTTTTCCTAGGCCAGTTCCTTTGGCTAGATCCCTGTATCTTGTAGATGACTGAAATCATTTGAAAACATTTCCACTGCTAACATCTACCATGGAAAACTTTAAAGAGCTTCTACTTACTCTCAAAGCATCTGCTCTTCCATCTGACTTCAAGGGTTCTGTGGGATTAGAGGACACACACCTAGTTCACAGTGAGAGCCCTAGACCCTTGGATGATGTCAGGTGCCATATCATAGCACTACCCTAAGATGGGTAAGTGACTGGTTCCCTGACAAACCTGGAACTCTCTGAGGATGGGAACTATGTGATGTTTACCTTCATGTCCCACTTAGTACAGAATCTGGCAGAGTGGCTACCATTGAATTTTTATTAGATGGGGAAAGAAAGATTGTACCTCTTCTTCAGGATCTTTCCTTCCTAATGAGAAATATTACTTAACAAGCAAGCAGTTACAGAGGTATAAGGGAGCACCAGATCCTAAGAGAAGGTAGGGTTTTATACACGGAAAGGATGAGCACTGCACAGGGATACTAGCGAAAGTTGCTCACAGGAACAAACCTGAGGTAAGGTTTTGCCAAGTTGCTACATGGCACAGTGTGGCTTCAAATTTGTAACCCTTCTGCCTCAGCCCCCTCAAGTGCTGGCATCATGGATGTGGACCACCATACCTGCCTCAGGGCTTATTCTTAAGAATATTTTTTTTAGAAAACTCAAGCATATTTGTCTCCTTACCTTGGTGGTCCAAATAGGGATTAAGTCTCACTCCCAAGCCAATTTCTGGCAAAGAGATTAGGGTGGTCATGAGACAATAAGACTAATGGGCTGGCTGAGCATGGATCTTGGGTCTAATATATGTGAGGAATGTACATTGTATGAGTGCCCACCAAGATCCTCTGGCAGAGAATCTTAAGGCTGTGTGCCCTAATCTCAATGCAAGATCTCATGGATAGCTGTCCATGCACAGGGTCACCCACAGAGTGGCCGGACACATGCTTCTTGGGAGCCTACACAGGTTGGGTTGGTGACTCATGACCCTGAGGATGAGGCTTGTCAATCAGATTCCACTCCACCAAAATATGGAGTGGATCCACAGGGAGGAGTGAAGCTAAAAGGATTGTCTCAACAGTTGCCACAATAGAGAGGGGCTGTGGCAACAAAGCAGGCAGGAAATTTTAGGGGCTGTCCCAATACTGAGCAGAGAAAGCCTGTGGACAAGGAGAGAACAGAGACACACAGGACCCTCACACAAACACAGACAGACAGACGCATGGAGACAGCAGTCCATCCTTCAGTTTCTCAGTGATAGCTTCAGTCTGCACACGCCAAGCTCACCCTCTTTTTCCTAAGGAAATGAGTTGGACACATCCCCAAGAACTAAGAATAGCACTGTGCAAAACACAGACCACTATGTGCCAGGCCCCTCTGCACTCTTCCCCTCAAGCCAGGCAGCCCCACCCCTTCCTGCGCAATCACTCAAATGGGATCTGAACTCATTAGGATCTTGCCAAGAAAGGGGGGTAGGATGCAATCAATTTCCTTAACTGTCATTACTGAGAGCTGGGTTGGAGCTCTGAACACGTGGGAGGTGGTGGTGAGCACTGAATCAATGTCAGGGCTCCCTCGGGACCCCCTCTGCAGGCACTCCCCACAATGACTATTACCAGCTGTTCTCCGGCAGGGTGGGCTGGGAGGCACATTCAGGGGGACGGAAAGGAAGGCAGGCACACACCTCTGGCACACAGCTCCATGTGTCCAGCTCTCTCTTAGAAATGCTCCAGATTGTAGGGGGTCTTGGTAGGGATGAGGGCACAGCTCCAGCTAAGCCAAAAAACAGAAATGCTCCAGGTATCAGAAATGCTGCTTGCAGAAAATATCACAACTAAAAAGAAGGAAAAAAATAAAACAGGCAGGACAGAAGGAGGAAGCACCAGACTAAAAATAGATCGACCTGAGGTTCCTCCCCTCATATAGATAAGGAGGTGTTTTCACAGCATCATTTCACAGGGAACTTCCACCTCACTGTGCAGTCAGCCAGGGGACCTGCCAAGAACCCAGGGATGCAACTGAGCTGGGTGTAAACTGGAACAGCTGGACGAGCTCGGGATACTTATTCGCCTAATGAGAACTTCCCTCCATAGAATGTACTAGGATACAGTAGTCTTAACATTAGCACAGTATTTTTCCATTCTTCTTGCAAGCAACAACGCTTATTTTGCTAATCCATCCATTGTCTGAATCTTTACTGACGGTCTACCCTGTAACCAGCCAAGGACTTTGGTCAGTAGGGAGCGATACACAGCACAGTCCCATCCACAGCAAGCTTGGCCACACAGCTACGGAGAGGTGCAAATCTATGGGCCTCAGTGGTCCCTGTGAGGCCAGGAGGGTGGCCACCCAAGTGATGTGCCTGGTAATGAGTGTAAGCAGCACCTCTGGGTGCTAATAACCCCAATGATCCATGCTAGAAGATGCTGCTAGCAGATGCTGGGGAGGTCAGGTGCTGGTGCTCCTGAACTCTGCCCTTCTTCTCCCGAACAAAGCATTTTGGAGAACGTCAGGTGCAGCAGTCTCACCAGAGTTTCAGAAAAAGCAAAGCTCTTTCCAGGAAGCTCAGATCCCCTCTTTAGCATCAAAACCAAAACGGACTGGTCAGACAAGATGGTTCAGGGCAGGTATCTCCACCTCCTGGGAGCAAGAAAAAGACCAGCGTGATTCCCAGGGTGGCTGGGAGGAGGCTTGCATATCCCTGTGCTTTTTGTTTGTTTTGTTCTCTCACTTTCTCAGAATACCTCTATTTTTCTTTTCCTTCCCTTTCTCGTGGTTAATACCCTACTCACCTAAAATCTATTTCTCTTCTCTGAATATCTTCTCTCCCAAAGTCTTTCCTAGCACTTCCACCTGATCCTCTAGGGCAGGCCACCTGGCTGAATGGGCAGGGACCTTCTGTGCAGAAGCTCACAGTGAACTTGGACTGAGCACGCAGCACATGCAAATGCAGTTCGAAGTGCTCTACATACACCAATTCGCTTCTTTACTACAACCCGCTTCTCCGAAAGCTGCTGCTAAGGAAAGCAATGCCTGACGATTCGGACCTAGCTCGAGTCCGTGCACCACTGACAGCACGGTACAGTCTGCACCTGTGTTGAGTCCCTTCCCTACTGCAGCTCTCTGGTGAGGGAATGGCTAGCAGGGCTGTCCTCCTCCCCTGCAAAAGGTTCATCTCTCCCATTGGAGCAGCGAGAGCTGCACGAATGAACGAAGCCCTGGGCACCCTTTTCCGCTTAACATTCCACGGAAAAGTTGTCAAAGAAGTAGGTAATCCCATAGAGAGGATTATAATGGAAAAACCTGATTTTTTTAAAAACGCCTCTTAAATCTTGTGTACAGCATTGAGCCAGCATTCTGCCCTACAGCAAAATAAGTCTCTGCAGCTCTCACGTTCTCAAAAGAGGGACGCAAACCTCCTTTTCAAACCCTGGAGCGAAAGCCCCAAGCTGCTGTAGGCCGGTCCGGCCCCTTCCAGCTCTACGGGCCAAGCCTTGCGCGGCCCTAGATCTTGCTGCAGCCTCTTCCTCAGCGGGAAAACTCCGTGGCGGGCGGCAGGGAAGGGTTGGTGCTTGGCTTCACCAGTCCCAGGGCCCGCCATGCTCTGCTCTCCACCTCCCTAAAGCCCACCTGGAGTTCCGCGACTTTAGAGGAAGTCAGTGGCTTTGCAGGGTCGCCAGTTGGGGGCGCCGCCCCTCTTTGGGCACTGGCACATTCTCTAGGTGAGCGCCCATTGCTTTCTCCCCCGGGCTGCCCCCACGGGGCCCGGGCCGCCCAGGAGCTCTTCCCTGGCCTCGCCAGCGTGCGGCGGCCCGCTGCGGACAGTCTCGGAGCTGTCCCCGCCGAGCTCCTCTTCGGCCAAGGATCCGTCCCCGCGTCGCCACCGCGGCCTCCAGCGTCACCCTGGCCCGGCCTCAGCCCAGCCCGTTGCGGTCCACGTGGCTCGGCAGAGCTATATTCGGCTCGCTGGAAGCCTGAGCGAGGGGAAAGCCGAGCCGAGGCCGGCGGGAGGGGCACAGGGGACGCGGGCGCCGGGGGCGGGCGCGGGGCGGAGGAAGGGGAGGGCCGTGCGCCGGGGAGGAGGTGACCCGGCTCGGGGCGCCCGGCTCGAGCCCCGGCTGGCCAGCGAAGGCGGCCCCTCCCCGGTGGCCCCGCCTCCCACTCGCCTTGCTCCCGGGGGAAGGTTTCCCGAGGCCGCTCCCAGCCTCACCCCGCCTCCCGCGTCCCCGGCGCTAGCCTCGGCCGGCGGAGCCCCACTATGCCAGACAGTTTCGACACTTTGCAAAGACAAAGAGCCCTCAACCGGAGGGAGGCGAGAGAGGAGGAAGAGGAGAGAGGGGAGCCAGAGGCGAGGTGAGCCGCGCGTGGGGTGAGTGTTTGGTACCCCCATCTACCCCTCCGAGACCCCTCCCTGCCCAAAGCCAGGGAACTCCAGCGTGTCTCCAGCCGGGTGAGCGCGCGCGGAGCCATCGCTGCTCGGGGTGCGCGGGGGGCTGTGTCCGCGCGACTTGGAGCACTGGCAGTTCCGCGTGTGTTCCCCGAGTGCAGGGGTGACTGTCCGACCCGGGAACCCAGGAGTGGGAAGGGGACCAGGAGGGTGTGACAGTGGAGGTGGGACTGAAGACCCCGCCCCGGGAGGAAATAAAACCGTGGAAAGACCCCTTTACTTGCTGTGGTGACCACTGGAGTCCCCGGGAGAGGAAGGTCTCCAGTGAGGCTCGGGCTCAGGGCTCTTTGGGGCTGACCAGAGGTGCTGCCGGGAATCTAATAGCGGCCGGGGCAGTGGTCCCCGGAGCGGCCCCAGTGACACTGCGTCCCGGACTCGGGTGGGTCTCACCGGCCTGGGCCGCTGTGGGGCGCTACCCGGGAGAAGGAGATCTCGGGCGCTTTGGAGGGGACACAGAGTCTCGGGCTGGGACTCCGCCAGGATGCGTGGAAACGGTCAGTGGTCCGGACCCGAGGCCATGGGATGGTATCTGGATGGAATCCCGATCCGCTGTGAGCAGGCGCAGACCCGGGAAGAGGCTGTCGGCGCCCGGGACGCCTCCAGCCTGCGCTGCTTCCTAGGGGGAGAAGTTGGCGCCTGGGACAGGGCAGCTGGACGCGGAGTAGGGGAAGAGAGGGAAGAGTAGGTTTCGGGTGGGCGAAGGGAGCACGGCAGGGGTGGTGGAGGCGGCAACTCAAAACTCCAAGTCCGCCCCAGCCCCGTTAGGCGCCGCAGCTGCCAAGAAATAATGTGACAAAAGTTAGAAACTGTGTGTGTCTGCAGCGTGAGTGATCCGCGCGGGCAGGGTCTGCCCCTCCGGGGAGCGCACGTTCTCAATAACGATGGGTCCGGGTGAGACAGCTCGGGAGCGATCCAGCTCCTTCAGCACCGGGACGGCGGCGCAACTTTCTGCTCCCGGTTTCTCTACGCTTGAGAGTTAGAGCGTGACCTTGCAGGAGGAAGAGCGGCTGAACTTGCGATGGGGGTTGAGGCTGCGCCCGGGTCAGCACCGACAAGCCGGAGCGCGCCGGAGCGGTCCCCAGGAAAGGGCGTCCTGGTCGGCGAGGCCCGAGCTTCTGCTCCTCCTGCGTGCGGGTCCTGGCCGTTTGCGCCCGCCTCGCGCGTGGCTTGGTGGCTCCGGGCAGCGCGGAGTGGATGGGATCTGGGCCGGTCACAGCGAGCCCCGCAGGAGACAGCGGTGACCCTGAAGGCCGGGACAAGCTCGTGGTGTCGCACTGGCTGGGTTCTCACGTGTGTTTCTGGGAACTCCTCGCCTCTCCCTCGCATGTCCCTCTCAGGTCTCCGCGCCTAGCCAATTTGTGCCTAAATGTTTCCCGGGAGACAGCGCGCGCCCACCCCCGCTCTGAGGCTGCCTGTGTTGGGGAAGAGGAGAGGGACGGAGCAAGCTCGGCAGAAGCAGGGAACACGGCCTGAGCCAGGAACAAGGCTGTGCTGGTGTCGCTGGTGTCGCCGGTGTCGCCTGGCAGGTAGTAGGTGCTCAGGCCAGGATCGGGAAAAATCCTGCAGCGCGGAGGATGCTAGCAGAGGGTGCGAAGCCCCTAATCCCCTTCCCCTTGCTATTGCGACTGCTGAATTAAACTTCGTATACCCAGGCCAGCCCTTGCGTCTTGTAGCTGTGCCTTGAGCACCTACTACGTGCGCGCTCTGCTCCGGGCCTGTTCCTAGAAGCTGCGGTTTTCCCCCTTGGTTTTCTTTACCCAGTGCTGGAGAAGCACGCCTGGAAGCTCGAAAAGGCGAGGTGCACTGCCCCCTGCTGGCTGCTTTGGGAACTGGCGCTTGACTCCGCGGTGGGACAGAGGGACTGAGGCCTCTGGCCTGGAGGCCCAGTACAGCACACACCCTTCCTGCCCCGGCACCGGGTCGGCCATTGTCTCAGATCTCCTGATTGACATGAGGGAGTGGAGCTCACCCATGCCCCCTGCCTGTGCCCAGATCCGGGTGCTGAGTGAAGAGGGGGTCGGCTAGTCTCCCATACCCTGCCTGTCCCCGACATTGAGCATGAGACGGCCCCTCAGCCTCAGTTTTCCTATCTGTAAAGTCGGGTCAGTATTACCATCTCCAGAAGCTGCTCTGTAGGACAGAGATTGCACAGAAGTGCGTGAGTGTGCGTGCAGATGTGTGCTGTGTGCTCACGTGTTCACACGGTGTGTGCGTGCACGCGTGCCTGCCTGTGCACGTGTGTGTGTGTGTGTGTGTGTGTGTGTGACTTGATTCCAGGTGTGGGAGACAGTTCTTTCACATGGTTTCTGCAGAGTAAAGAAATAAAAGAATGAATCGCGGGCCGCTGTTCCTGACTTTCAAATGTCCCGCAAAGTGGGAGATGTGCTCTTCCTCAGGTCGCTGTGTGTGGTGCCCTCCAGGCAAAGGCAGGCCTGTTCTGAGCAGGGTCTCCCTTGCAGGAGGCCACAGCATACACGGTGAGCTGGGGAGACAGAACCTGCTGCTGCAAGTGGCCGCAAAAGGTCTCTTGAGGATGTGGGCCCACACCTTCCTCTGAGCTGCTTTTTTGTTTTGGTTTTGGTTTTGATTTTTGGTGGTACCAGGGATCGGGCCTGGGCACTGCACAACATCCCCAGTCCTTTTAAGAATTCTTTTATTTTGGGACAGAATCTTTCTAAGTTGCCCAGCCTGGTCTTGATCTTGTGATCAGCCTCCCACAGTACAAAGCAGAATGCTTTTCCTTTGTCCCTCCTTCCCTTCCTTCCTTCTTTCCTTCTTTCCTTCTTGCCTATCTTCCCTTTCCCTTTCTTTCTCCCTCCCTCATTTTCTCCTTTTTTCCTCCTTTCCTTGTACTAGGGATTCATCCCAGTTTATACTTAGCTACATACCCAGCCCTTTTTTTGTTTTTTGAGGCAATGTCTCACTGAGACTCTAAATTGCCCAGGCTGGAACTGGAATTTATGGCCTTCCTGCCTCAGCCTCCCTCCCTGCTGGGATTACAGATGTGCACCATCACACCTGGCCTAAGGCTGTGTTTTGCATTCTTGCCTGCACACTTCGTTTTTTTGGTTTGAATAGCTGATGTAGGAGGGCGGGGTTTAAGAGCATGGCAGGCGGCATGAGGGAGAAAGTGTCAGGTCTTAGGCATTTGCTGCCACAGGCCACCTGTGTGACTGGACAGGCAGGCCCTGCACCCCTTATGCCAGGTCTGTAGTTCTGCAGGGACCCTAGGAGGGTGAAATGGTAGGGTGCTTGGGAGAGCTATGCATGGGAGTCCTAGAGCCTCACAGATCCCAGCTGAATTAGGAAGTATTTCGTGGGGGCAGGGCATCAGCATGTAGGGAAACACATGAAGGGATCACAGCGATTCTGCACCAGCGCTGAGCAAGGGTAAATCATCCGTCACTGGATTCCCGTGGAGAGGTGACAAGCCCAGAAACAGGAGGGTAAGTCTCTCACCAAAGGCCTCCTAGCTGGTGGAAGGCCAGGGCTTCACCCACTGTGCCGGACAGCACCTCGTAAAGTAAACACATCTGACATAAAGTGTTAGCAACACCTTTACTAGCCAGTTTTCTGTTGCTGTGAATGTAATCATCGTGTGCTGCAAATATGTACTAATACAAATTTTCAAAAAATATTTAGGGCTAGGTAAGTTGTACAGAAAATAAGTTTACCAGCTCAGTTTTGGAGCCTGAAAGTCCAAATAGCATGCCATGGTCTCTGGGGAGGCCCACTGACTGTATCCCCTTATGGCAGAGGGCGCTGTGGGTGGGATCTCTGACACAGATCATGTGGAGACACAGGAGGCCAGGGGGTATGAGGAGCAGTCCTGTAACCTCCTGCTAGGCTGCATGTCTTCAAGGCCCACTCCTCTTAGCTCCACTCTGCTGGGGAGCATGTGAGCCATATGAACACATGTACCCTGTGGGGACAAACTCCACCCAAACCAGGACAGCCCTGACATTATCACTAGTGTCTCCATGCAAAGCAGAATAGCTTCGCTGTGGAGGTTTGCCAGGGTTTCTGTCTGAGCCTTATTGGGTCCTCCTCAGTGATCAAATTACTTACTTCTGTGCCTCAGTTTTCAGAATATGCTTTATACGGTTGATGGGAAAAATAAACAAATCTATTCACTAAGGAGTTCAGCTTACGTCCTGATGCACAAGCATTGCACAATGAATGTTAATATTTATTTCTGAGGAGGTCAAGACAGGGACAGGTCGGGTGGAGTTGGGCTGTGCTCTACAACAACCTTGTATTATTGGTCTATTCAGTATTCAAATGATGTTATTGGAATATTTGTTTGTTAATAGTTTCTTTGTTCGAATTAGTCTGAGGATTTTTGGAACATTTCTCTCTGTCACTTTCTGTCTCTGTAGAGATATAATTTATGTGTATAAGTTCTCCTCCATGATACGCAACAATTATCTAACAAGGAATGAGCCTACAACCTTTAAGAGAACATAAAATAAAATTAAAAATCAGAATAATTCTGAAAATCAAAAACAAAAAGAACATTCATTCCAAATTATTTGGTAGAGGGGCTGGGGATTTAGCTCAGTGGCAAAAGCGCCTGCCTGTCAAGCGCAAGGTCGTGAGTTCGGTTCCTGGTACCGGAGAAAAACCAAAAAAAAAAAAAAACAACAAAACAAAAACCAAATTATTTGGTACACATCAAAAGACATTTGCAAATGACTTGGAAAGTCCAGTGTCCAAAGAAACTCCTTTCTCAGAATTTCACTAGGTAAAGTAAAAAAAAAATCCAAACTCAAATAGGTACATTGTAATAAATTTTTCTGCATTCAAAGCAAAACACAAATCCATTTGAGTCCAGAGTGAACTAATAAGCCAGAGTGACTAAAATTTTCTTTCACATATTTACTTAGCAGAAAGCTCTTGAGAAAAACACAACTAAAGCAAACCCAGCTATTTCTCTAACTACAGAAATGGAAAGACTCCAAAATCTTATTTCATGCTCAACAAGCCGAGAATGAGTCCACATGAAAGACGGAAATCCATCTAA